AATAAACAATGAATAAATTAACAAATTGAATTAAATAATATCTGTGATCAAATTAACTATATTTATATAGAATTGAAGTACGTAAATAAATATAAAAGTTATTGTAAAGAATCTGGTGTTACTCTCAGTGATGATTTGATCCGATTCTCATGTAATACTTTCATAAGAGAGTTACAATAAGTCCTTCGGCGCGATAAAATAACGAAAGTATTGTATACATACCTAAGAATCTTTCGTTGGTTTGAATTAAGAGGTCCTGAGCCCTATCCACGGCACAGGCCATATTCCATTGACCGACACATTTGATGATCTCCATGTAGTTCTCGATGTTGGACCTCGGGCCCCGTAAACTCACATTGTCATTAACACTGTTTCCAGCCACGAAGCCGCTCGCCACAGCCAAAGCTGAAGCGAGGACGAAGAAAGCTTCCTGACGCATCTTCCCAAAAAAATAAACTTTCTGTGTCTACTGCAAGAAGTATATACTTGTCTGCGTATCTCGTCTGTATATAAATCTCTTTGGATATCTTCTCCGATGGTTTATGCACACATTTCACACATGGATGAGACCCAAAAGAAGGAAGTAGATATGCTCACCTTGAACCTTGAAACGCATCTGAAGGTTGCTGATGGCTACGTGCTGCTTTATAAGCATATTGGAGAGAGATTGCTGCTGTATGGTTCACTTTGGAAATGTGGAACACGCGACGCGACTATATCGGAAACCATAGGCGTAGGCATCGCGAGTTTCCATATATAATTATATAAAAAAAAAACAACTTGAGAAAAACATCTTCAGCTTAACAATCCGAGACATATTGATTAATCAAATGAACTTATACAAAATAGCTTCATTCATGTCTTATAATATGTCGTCATAACTCAAAACTATTATTATTTAACACACTAAGTTTATAAGATTATTAATATTATTAATTTTCATCAAACTATGTTAGAAATTTCTTCTACAATGTTTAATTATAAACAAAGGCTACTAACACCAAATGTCACAGAAGAAACCATTACTAATACTATAATTAAGAATTATGTTATAAGTTAATAAATTTGTAAGATTTTTTTTTATCATATAAGTATAAAATCAAAGTAATGAACATAATTTATAGCCAAAATGCATTATTTCCGCTCTAGAATCAAACTATGTTTTAGTCAAATTATTTATTTTAAAACAAAATAAACTAGAAAAATTGAACTAAATATTTTATTAAACAAATGTAAATGTTACTCTTAAATCAAGATTTATGTCTCGTCGGTTAATGATTAACGAAATTATCGATAAATTTTGACAACAATACCGTAATTTCTTAAAATTATATATATTAACACGGTAATATCTGCATTGATACCTGTAAATGCGCAGCTGTTTGTACATTACTTCATCTCGATATTATCCATAAATTTATGACTATGAAGTGTCTTAGGGTATATACAAAATCAAGCTGGTTTTAATCGTCTTTAAACCATTATATAATAATCTATACTAATACTGAAAGTTATTTTTTTAGTAGATTATTGCAGAACAAAGTCAAATCTTCAGGTTCTTAAAGATATTTATGAATTAATTTAATGATCTCCCTTTTTGAAGCTGGTGAAAGAAATAAGCTAGACGTCTTTGTCCAAACATTATATGGATTTTGTAAATTAAACTAAATTAAACCTTACTAAACTAAAACCTCGGAACTAATTTAAGTTTTCATTTTTTTTTTCAATTCACACAGACATAGACGATTTTGTGTCAACATTTTTATGTTTTTTAATCAAATAATAAAAAATATTCTTATATTTCAAGTGTAGACTCAAAAACCCGGTTTTCGAATTATATAAATATATTTTTTTCTCAAAATCCCGGGACAAACGCTAATTGTATTACACAAACTTATCAGATGTTTGTTGATTTTTTATACAATCCTCTAGAATTTGAGTATGTACATCAATAGGATAATTATAATTTATTTATAATTTCATTACCAACAGTATTATGACTTTCTTTGAATGATTAAACAAGAGATAGGCGTGAAACTAAAGACCCAAATGTTTCATCTGAAGATGGTGTGTTAAAACAAAACAGCTGACATTGAAGAGATTGTGTTTAGCCATTAAACAGAAAAATAAATAAATTAAATTTCCAGCTGACTAACACCGCAAATTTAGCAAAACTTTTTAAAAAATAAATCGCTGTGCAAATATATGAAAATAGCAGCTGTTAGAAGCATTTAACATACTGACTTGAGGCATAAAGAACTTTTTCATAAATCGGGGAAACTGTAGATAGGTTCCAGAGAAAAACTTGTAAATCGAAGTTGTAACTTTTTGAAATCGTATAAATCGAAAATATGCAATTTCGTACATAAATCAAACAAAAATATTGAAAAAAAAACTTTAGGAAGGAAGGAAGGAAATAAATTGATATTTTTGATCCTCTCATATTTTGTCCTTCCGAGGTCTCTGCGGTTTAGCACAAAGGTGACGGGAACCGCAGAGATCCCGGTTTGAAAATTTGTTACTTTTTGTTGCACTTTGTCGTCACTTGTGGATCACCATTCTCTCCAATCCCATCCAGTAACAAGCAGCAGTGATGATCTTTAGTAGAGTTAGGATATTATAATAAAAAAAACAGTGGCTGGCGAAATTTACGCATCTTGCGAAGAGGGAAGGTGTGGAAAGAAGAAGTTACTTATGATCATAGCCATTTTATTCTCGTAATTTATTTTTTAAATCGTATAAAAGCGAAAATGTGTAAAGAAACTAACGAGGGTTAGGCGTATCCAAAAATTTGAACAAATCTGAGTGATTAGACGTTAGGTACGATTTGTCTACTGCGTGCAAATCTTAATTATCAGAAATAACTGGATCTGAATATTTTTAAAAAAAGTGTTCTCGCTAAATCTAGTCAGTTACATTTAGAATTGATTATTGTTTTGTTAATATATTAAACTTATTTGTATTTGTTATTTTTAATTATCTCTGTAAAACAATTTATTACAACTTCAATAAACACACGCGATGGTTTCAATCAAGTTGTAACGTGACTTTCAATGTGATGAAATTGTAATTACATAAATATGTTATATAATTGAATTATATCCAAGTAACCAACTGTAAAACTTTAAAATTAAAACTATCTACTTGGAAGCAGAAACTCGCACATCGTCGGAATTTATGATCCAACGTAAATCACTCTTTTTTTCATAGTCAAACAATAAATTGAGTTTGATAATATTTCAGCGATTAAATTATTAAAAATATTTGATGATGAATTTGTAATTAACTCCAAGGATACATTTTCTATTAGTATATTAATTTTGCTGAATTAACGTGTTTTCAGTAGTAAATTGAAAACACGAAGGGTAAAAATTTAATCTTAAATGACAAAATTCTGACGAAATAGTTTGATATTTGTGCCTTTTGCATTAACCTTAACCATTCTGCACAACAAATAATTGATTTCTATAGTATTATATGCATATTTCAAACAAATAGATCAAGTATTTCAAGTTCTAATAATAATAATAATTTAAAATAAAATATGGTATCAACTTTTCTATTTTATATGAGTTTTCACAAAATGTAATTTTAGAATAAGGTCAGATTTTATTATAAATTGTTTTAGAGATTTATATTGTTTAACCAGTATAGACTTTATTTATACAGCTATACGTGTATGTATGTAGAAATCTCATAAAAAAAAAATGTTTATTTTAATTCTCTCTGGTGACAATGGTTTTAGTTTACGTGCACATATAATTGAAGCATTGTAACGTTTACTTACATTTAAAAAAAAAATCATAATTTAGAAACTTGTACTGCACCAAAGTAAACTACCATATGGATTAAAGAAAAAATGACCAACATTTTTTGGTTGTTGGTTTCAATTAACAATATATTCTAATATATTAAAATAATAATAATAATAGTTTGTTTTACTGTTGAAATAAAATCTATTAAGTTTTCATTCATAATAATAATTAAATAAAAATTTTATATAATATGGATTCAATTCAATTATCTTTAATTCAATTCTATACATTGCGTAAGTGTATGGATGCACATTTATATTCGTTCCTTAAATATATAGCACAAATCTGTTTAGGCCTTACCACAATACTTAAATTCTTTAATTAAACCGTTTTTTTTTTCAATTCAATTTAAACAAATTATTGTACTATTTGGAAAAATTAGGTGCAGTTACAATTGCTTTAAGTTTTCGCTTTTACACGGTTTAAAAAGAATAAATGTTGAAAATAACTTATCCCCAGTTTTACATGATACATGATCTCATAACGAGTAATTCGCATAATGGGCCACGTTTCGCGTGAGTTACGTAAAGTCCCGGATTGTCCGCCTGTTATATCAATTTCCAAGCTTGTGTTCAGTCAAATTATGTGTGTGTGTTTTTTTTGTATCCTCAAACAAAAAGCTTCAAAACTCAGAAGAGATTAAAAAAGATTAAGATTAGAAATTAGGTATGTATAATAAAATTCTGCAAATGGAATTCGCATTCCAGATAGGTTCATTCCGCGACAAAAGAAAAGATGAAGATGATTCAAGCTCCTTAACATGTTTTTGAGTATTATAATACAAGATTACTTAATATTGCTTAGTATTGGACTTATATATTATGTGCGGCGACTCAGTGATCAAAAATCTTACTACATCAAAAATTAAAAGATACAAATTCGATTCACACTAATTAATTTTCAAATCTAGAATGCGAACGACAATAACTTAGTAAAAAGGTTTTTAAGTTTACGATGTTGCAGAAATATTATGTTTCATAATACCAAAAACATAAATGTTAAATTATTATATGTTATAATATTGAAATTAGCTAATTGACACAAAAAAATAAAGTATTCTCGTTACTCGGTTATTATTTTTTATATGTTTTTACCCTCAAAATAAAAACTTTCTAAATTGTACATCAATATGTAAAGTATTTTATATTCTATGAATAATTTAGAATCCAATAGAAGGCTACCTACTTTTCAGTTCACACAAATCCAATGATTCACTTAATTACATTTAAATATATGGTTAATTTCCCAAACGGAAGCAAATTGTTGATTACAAATCTTACATTTTTGATATTATGATAATTTATGTAACTGTAATAGAAAACTTATTTTATCGAGGTTGAAATGTTTCAAGAAACATAATATAAGAAAGTAATCCAAAGTAAATTGGATGTGATTTTTCGCAATAATAATGAAAATAAAGCAAAAATCAGTGATCATAAAATGATTGATTCAAGTAGTGTTAAAGAAGTTGTTGAATGGAGCTTCCGTGTCTTTGTGGAAATAAAAATAAGAAGAATAAACACAGGTAGTAATAATAATAAAAGAAAAGTAACGTATGTTAAGTGTGTTTTGTGCGTACAAATAGAAAATGTGTTTGTGCTAGTGGCTAGTGCAAATTCGCTGTTTAAGAAATCGCACGTTTCACGATGTCTCCAAAAGGGGTCCAGCAATGGTCTCGTTTAACTCGAATGGAATAGATCGTTTTTTTTTCCTTCCTTGTAAGGATAGATACACCGAACCGAAAACATTTTCTCCCGAGCCACGCTATTATCACCATTGGAGAAACTGCATATATCACTTCTTCTACCTATAAAATGGCGTGTTGTAAACACCAATGAATGCATTCAAAAGAAATATAAATTATTAAAAGATTTTAGCGGCATACGGAAAATTGCAAGATTTCTTTATGTAAAAAAAAAGAAAAAGAAAATCACGGTGTATATTGAAAGTTAAAATAATGAAATACATAATTATGCAACTCAGATTACTGTTAATGTTATTTAATTAATATGATCAAAAGCCTTTTGTAACAATTGATCTTTTTTTTATATAATATCGACTGCTAAGGACATGATGTATGTACAAGTAAATACCAGACCAATATATATGATAAAATTAGGATACAAATTAAAAATAAACACAAGCAAACAAGGAGATTAAATAAATAAAGAAAAACATTAGTCTACAGTCAAAAAATTAGTCAAATATAAGTTAAATTTCATCACCAATAATTTGAAGTATGGATTCCAGGCATGCATGCACTTCTTTTATCAAAATTTATTTAAATCATGTATTTGTACACTTTTATGAGGTTCCACAGGAAAACGCATAAAAATATTGGGCACACGTATAAAAATAAAGCATACGTTCCATAATTTTTTAAAACCGCATAAAAATAAATCAATGAGTTACAATATACCAAAAATCGCATAAAAAAGGGTTTATTAAATTTCAGAAAAATAATTAGTCTTACTATATTCTTTCTGAAATGTTTATTCATAATTTTATAAAAAAGTTAACAATCATAGACAAGTTTATTAAATTTCAGGAAAATATAATCTTAACATATTCCTTCTAAATTTATATGGAAAAATTTTACAAAAAAAAATACAGAATTTTTTTATGAAAGTTAATCTTTCTTCACATTTTTTTCTTTAGAATTATATCAGTTATATGAGAGTGTTTGGCATAATTTGGTTCGAAATCACTTTCATCACTAGAAGAGATAGTCAGCATATCAGATCTATGTCTTGAAGATAATGATTCTTCTCAAGTAAAA